TTTTTTTTTGAACTCATCTGATTTACGAGATGACAGGACTTGTATGATGTAAGCTATCGAAACTAAGTGAACAAGCAGCAGTTTTACGTACCGAACTTGAAGGTTGTGGCTGCGCCTGCGGATCAGTCGGATGAGGAAGTTCTGGAATGCTACTGATCCCAGTTTCTAATGAGTTCTCCTGACTTCCCGCCGGAGGAGGTATCGGTACCTTGATATGTAAATTGAATAAGTTCAGTAAGAGTTTATCAAAGGAAGCAACCTCAGGAAGTTCGCCCAAGCCAAATGGATCTGCTACTGTACTGTGATGGACTGGATCGGGAAGACTTGGAAGATTATCAACAGTGACTGAAGATGGAGTTGGCGATCCTGCAAACAAGTGAATAAACAAGATAGCGATAGCAATAATGAAAGAAATCCGGTGAACATCGACGAGGGATGATTGCGGAGTCCAAGTAATCTTATTACAAAATGCATACCAACCATACCATATTTGCAAAGGGCTCAAACTGCTGATTTCACATTTCTTTCCTAGTCTGCAAAACACTTTTGAGAAGGAAGTTAAGGGCAATTTATCATCGATCTTGCATGGATTTGAGCGCCTACGAATTATGAAAAGCGTTCAAATTGCTTTTTGCGCTATAAGGTAATATTCTGTATGAACAGCATCACATTAAGCATGGTAAGCTGTTCCATCCATGTAGATTTGACTCGAAAATGCCTGGGTCTTGACAATTTTGGGTACTCCCATCGTTGCAATTTTCACACATAAAAGCCCGTAACTTCCTTGCCAGAAGCGTTCTGAAGAAGGCAGACTTGAAAGGCAGACTTGAAATCAGCGCTTCAAGCTCTTCGTAATGATATGATTTTAAAGTGATCGGCCACTTCGAGTTCGCGACCCTCCCTTGTGAGAGACAAAATTTGCACAGCAACAACCTGTTAGAAGCTATGCCTACCTCGTTCAGCTCTAATGGATGCGTTATCGGGTTCTGGAGGATTATCTCCGACGTCAAGGGTAGCGTTAGATGGAGCTCTACAATGGGAAAAACGTAATGATTAGATCTACGAGCGATCTGAAGCAACATAACTCAATAAACCATACCTCGGCAGATGGTCTTCCGGAATCTGCTCCGCCATCAAGCTGCTTCAGACGCTGCTCACGCGATCTTCTGTTTTCTTCCTTTTGACGAGCTCTAGAAGCGTAATGCAAGCATTTCGATACCTCAAATTTTACAATCTACTTTATCTGCTCGTATTCGCAGTTATCTTCAAACTCTCGAGGTCCTCTGATATTCTCCCAATGCTCTGTGTCGAGATTCGCTACCTCCTACAAAATTTTATTGCTAGAGATAAGGGCCACATTGGAGACTTAGAAATTCTACTTTGTACACGGTATCCACGGTCACGTTTTTCCGAAGTTTCAGACCGCGTTTTTCGAAGTCACTCCTCTGGAAAAAAACAAGTTAGGAGAGCAACGGCCACACAGAAAGAGCTAGCCAAAAGCGAGATACTGTCTTAAGAAACTGATAAATATAGTAAAAAAAA